ACCTGAGTCCTTAACTGCACCAACTTTTTTTGGTTTTTCATGGAAGCATCTCGATTTTCAATAGTTCTTCTCTCAAGTTCTTTAATGTTAGCTCTGTTAATCAGACAAAAATAAGTCAAACATGGATTTGTTAAATTCTATTTTTGAAGAAGGAGTAGATTAAAATTTACAGTCAAAACCATTATTGTTATGTTTATATTTTACACAGAAAAAAGAAAAGCAGTTAAGGGTCCTCCACACCATGTGACTTGTGACGTATATAGACAAAAAATACTTTTACTTCCGGTTTTTGAGTTGGCTCGCGTAGCGAGCTACTCCCTGTCGACATAGCTGTTTCAGAGCTGTAAATTTTTTCACGCATTCATCAAGGTGATCCATACGCCAAATATAATAGTTCTAGCAAAAAATGCTTTGGTTTGAGTGATTGAATAAACTTAAGAGGTAAAAACTGTATAAAATTTCATATAACATTATTTATGCCTTCATGCTTTTAAAGAAATATTTGATTAAATGCCTGTACGATTTACAATTACTGCGTATGAATATATGTTCAAGCATGAAATATTTCCCATCTGAAGTTTATTTATATATTGACCTAAACCCCCCTAACACAAACACCTGCTGCTCTCATTAGCTGCAGCTAGTTGTTGTTGAAAATGTATTTTTAGAATCCAGATTTGCTGTGGGAATCTTTACACAGCTAATGTGCTGAAATTCATTATAGAATCCAGTCAAAATAATGCCAACCTGTATATATAAATGAAAAGCAATATACACTTTATTTATGTGTGACATATATTATTCAATCTCTTAAGATGCAAAATAAACTGAATATATTAAGGTATGGTGCCCATATATGAAAGCTCAATTGACTCGAGCGAGTCAACTCGCAGGCCTTTCAGGCCTTTGATTTCTAGTTTGTACGTGGACGATTTGGCCTGGTACTGCTTGAAAGAGACTCTTACAAAACACATGGCATGATCACGGAGTGACCGATGGAAAAAGATGTGCGTTTTTTTTTTTGTTTAAATAAAAGAACAACAGACGTCTGGGATTATGTTACATATTATAATTCGTAAACAACGGGTACCGGTATGACGAGAAACCTTCAGGTTATTTATACTTTCAGGCTAATCAACCGAGTCTGTTATGATAGTAGTTGAAATTTTTGCACACTAAATTGTGCGTTTCAATAAATAAATACATCATCTCATTGTTTGTTTATAAATATTAATAAATAATATGAGTTTCTAGTTTTCCTCTTTTATATCTGTCCAGTTCAGGTATAAGCCAATAATGAGTAAATATAGTATGTTGACGAATGCGGAGACTTGCCAAAGTTTTTGAGTCCCGGGCAACAGAAGGATAACTCCAAAAAGGAAATTTGATACCAAAGATTTTGAAAATATATTTTTCTACATCAGTGCATTTAATTTTAATTCAATTTTTTTATGTAATCTAATTCATTAATGTTTCTTCTCTACAAAAGGAGTCTTCATTGATCTTTCTCGAGATGTATTTTAGAGAAAATGAGTTTTATGTACTTTTAATAAATAAAATAAATTTCCGTAAAAAATAGGTGGATTGCTAAAATTAAGTTTTTATGGTTATTCTGTGAGCTTAAGGATACACCAAAGGTTTCCAAACGGCAAAATTTAATTTGCTTGTAATTCTTTCATTAACAAAGATAACATATTAAAAGTATATATCATTTGAAAGCTTGTTAAATTCACTATTTAATGATCTTAATTAAAATTTTCGTTTTTATCTTATTAAAAAATTATTTATCTATTAATGTAAATATCAGTGCATTTATATTTTATAAATCAACTTTTTTGTATTCCACCTCTCAAAGTCAAAATTTTGCCTCAATGTAGATTAAAGATTGAACTTTAAAACCGTATCTCAGATTTTTGATAAATCTTCTTATTCAAAAGTTACACCCATTTGTCTTTCAATTTTACCAATTTATTAGCCTAATTCTGCATTTCCCCCAATAATTCGAGAACTGAGCAAGATATCAAACATCTGAGACACGGTTTTGTGAACACACATTTGAGACACATTCTGGCCAGTTTTTAGAGAAATTGGTCAATAAATAAGGGAGCTGAATCCTTTCAAATAATACCACCAACTGTCTGATCTTACTTTACAGTAGAGGGCAAAAACCCATTACACAACAAAGTCTCTCTCACCTTGGAGATTCAGCTTTGGATATTTACTTATCCATATTTCCTATGCATATTCACAAGAATGGGAGGTTCTATTCTTTATTTAGGTGCTTTTAATGAAGCAAAATAGGTTCAATTCTGAATCTCAGAAAGATTTCCCGGCAAAATGGCAAGAGCTAAGCTCCACCTCCTATTTCATGGTCATTAGTGACCTGTTAATAAATCTAGAGTCCCAAATTACTGATAACCTCTGTGTGGCTAGTGAAGAATTCCCCAAGTGGTCACAGTGATTTATTGCTCCTTTCAGAAGCAGGCAGTTACAGACCAAATCAGAAGCTTCAATAACGGCACATTCACATGTGTTAGTGTTTATGTTTGATTATTGTTAAATAATTAGAAAACCATTTAATAATCAGCAAGAATTTTTCATGCATTATAAAGCAGTGATTAGCATTGTTTTCATAGCCAAAAATCTCAAAATTGACAAAAATCTTGAAAAAAGCCTTTGGTGTATCCTTAAAAATATATGAGAGGGTAAGACAAAATTTGTTGTGCTAGTTATGAAAACGCCGTGGGAAAAATTTCTTGAAAGTTGTGAAATTATTATTTTAAAAAATCAGTATAAATTACATTTTAATCCCTGGACAGTTTTTAAAGGTTGATATGGTTGTTAAAAGTAATGCTCATTAATATGAGAACATAAGCTGTGTGTGTGTGGAGGACCCTTAACCTAATTTCATATTTTGTGAATCTTTTTTTTCACTTTAAATCAAAGGAAAATATTTTGAAATAAAAGCAAACTAAAGTCAAACTTCAAACCACAATTTCAGTTAAAAGAGATATATTTCTGAAAGTGCAATATATATGTAATAAACCCTGGTGCCTTTTTTCTTGCACACACAACAAAGCCATGATGAATAATGCTGTAAAAGAGCACCTGTCTTTAAGGTATTGTGTGCATTTACACAGCTGCTATATAATCAGCAAGTCATCTCAATCAGAGTATTTCAAAGGAAATTAAGAGAAAGGAAGGCTTAAGAATGCAGCCATGTAGGGGGCTTTTTTAGATTGATTTCTTTTTAGATTCAAGAACTATTGAGTGAAAGGACTTACAAGGTTTCAATATCATGAAAATTTTGAACAAACACAATTTGAGACATTGTTATAAATGAGAGGTTTAATAGAGTGTTGACAATTCACAAGAGGAGCACATGCTGTGATGCAACGCTTTATCACCGACTAACAAAGAATAGAAGTCAATGCCCACAACCTTATCATTATTATTCTTGACTTTTTCAGAAAAAAAGTCTTTTTTGTTTCATTTGTTTAGAATATAAATTAAAAGATGACATATCATTTTTCATGTAAAATATGTTAGATCATATGAATTAAAAGAAATGTGTAATTTTACCTGTCATTTTCTCTCTGCTTTAAGAGTGACTTAATTTGATCCTTCAGAATTGTGATGTCATTTTCCAACAGAGTTGAATGTGACGATGCCTTTGTTGTCTTCATAGGAACATAGTGGACATTTCCTCCCTTCTTATATTTAATGGTTGCTTCTGCTGCACAATAACAAACACAGCAGACACCCAGGACCAAGAAACGGTTCCACATTTTGTCTATTCAATAAAACCATCCAATTTCTTCAATGCTATTGAATCATTTTGATTTGAGTCTTTTAATTCACTAGTTCTATGTGAGTTGATGGCTTCCCTGTTTGAGCTGGTCTGTGTTGGTCACATGGTGACCACCCCCTGGTCAGTGATACCTGGATCTGTCCTCAGGTAACCTCCGTCTATCTGTTTATCCTCCCTATCTCCCGTTCTCTGTCAGGTCGGTGTAGCAAGTGAAGGACAACAGCCGAGGTGTCTCTGTTATCGTAGATACAACTAATTGGATGCATAGAAGTTTGAAAGAAAATTAGGCCTGTCTGGTGCATTCTGGGAGAATTTAATCAGCTGGGGTGATGAGATATGGGTATGACCCACCCCCCTTTAATAACCTGCTGAGTGTTGTCTCATAGCTGGTCCCTGTTTTTTTTTTTTTTTTTTGGTGTATATTGATTTTTCAGTACGATAGATTTTTGAATGAAGCTTCTTTAATGTAATACAGACATTTTCTTGACAAGTTGTGTAATTTGGTTATATTAAGGTACCACCTTCCAAGCGGTGCAAGTTAAATTAATCTTTATCTGATAACTCTAACAAAGACAGGCTATGCTTTGTTTAGTGTCATTATAAGCTGCTAATGCAAATTGTCTGTAGGAAAATGAGTGCACTTTGATTTAGGAGTTTTTTTAATGTAAGAGGGCAGCTGATTTTATGATCATTCTAGCTGGTGTTTTTCTTTAATTTTGTAAGCGGGTCCTGTTGATTTAAAACAACTTCATGAGTAACCAAGCAGTAAGACAGAATAAAATTATACACAGTAATAGTAAGGAGTTAGTAAACCAAACCTTGAAGTATTTGTTAATTTTTGACAAGCTCTCACTTCTTATTTACATATATGCACTTGTCATTATCAGAACATAAAAAAATTGTATCTCTTAAATTGGCCAAACCTTAAATGTGTATCTCTAAGATCAATCCACATTATAAACTGATTCTTATATGCTTTTAAATTATGACTAATCCTGGGTTCAAGAAGATTAATTAACATTATAAAGTGACTTTAAATGTCAGTTTCTGTATGTCTGTAATAATAAAACTGCTCAGAACAAAAGATGCCTTAAGAAAAAGCCAGCAAATCAACAGTGATTGCTTGCTTAGGTAGTAAGTGCAAGTCTTTTGAAAATTTTATATTTGATGTCCTTTTTCTTTTCCCCAGACCCTCCTTCGAATCTGGGACTGTTTTTTACTTGAGGGCCCCAAGGTTTTGTTTCGCTTTGCTCTGGCAATCCTTAAACTGCACGAGAAGGAGATCCTGCAGAAGACAGACACCATCAGCATCATGAGGCACCTTAAAGCCGCAGCCAAGCTTACCTTTGATGCAGATGGCCTCATCAAGGTAGGTCAATACCTTACATTAATTAGTGTATTTTTAATAACTTTGTTAATTGTTTTAAATAAAAGTCTCAAAAATTAAAAAAAAAACAAATATATGGAAGAAAATTTTTTGCAAGTGGATAAAGCTATATTCAGTGATATAGTTTCATTTTAATTTATATTGTACATAAAAGTTTTACTCTGAGGACTTCATATTTAGAATATCAAGAAAAGATAATGATTTACAAATGAAGTTTTACTAAACGTATATTTGATATTTCCACTTACCTGCCTGGTGTTTTGGTGTGATTTTGATTTGTTATCATTTGATTTGAATATATATGTTGTAGGTTGCTTTTGATGGTCTGAAACCTTTTCCAAGAAGGAAGGACATCTCCACAAAACAAGCATGCTACCTGAACACTCTCAAAGAACAGAACAAGAGAAAGGAGTTACAGAGACTGGCATATGCTGAGAGAGAGCACATGGTGAGCTTTATATCACAGAACTCAACAATGCTTTTATTTCTACTATTATCCATTAACAATCATTTGTATGTTCTTGTTTTTTTTTCCAAATCCTAATCCATCTTTTTTTTTGTTGTAATCAGTACATGAGTATGGAGTCTGAGAGTGGGAACTATCAAAATCTTGGTGCTGCTGTTGTCGTAGAAGATGGTAAGTTTGACTTCAATATCTGGAAGGGGGGGGGGGGGTAAGAATAAATTTGAAAGAGATATCTGTATTAGTTTTATTGAATTAAATCTGTTTATCTTAAAGGAAAAGTATGGCTGACTTACGGGGAGCAGAACTCTGCCAGGATATGTAAGGTCACGTGTGAGGAAGGAGTCATGTACGACCTTGGAATGAATGTGAGTAGTCAAGGTCAAAGATTATATTCATTGTGATTACTTTTATATACAATCAATAAAATTTTGTTTGTATACTTTAAAAATTGATTTTTTCAATATATGGACAGTTTGATTCGCGTGTGATGTGTATGGAGAATGCCTCAGACAGTGTTGTATTGATGGGAACTCTGTCTTGGATGTTGTATGCCTATGACTCAAAGACAAGGTAAATGTCATCACTTTTTTGTAATTTTTAACCTGCGTTCATTTTCAATGACTGCCTATGTTTTAATTTTAGTACATATAATAAAGTAATAATCAAGTTTTCAAACAAAACTTATATTTTTTAACTTCATTGAAGTGTCTTACACGATAACATTTCTTTAAATGTAATAATTAAATGCTAATCAGATTGTTTTTTTTTACAGAGAGAGATTGTGGGAGTTACTTCTACATGATGCTGTTCTCTCCTTGTGCTGTTTTGAAGATGATGACTCCATGCTTGTGAGAACGTTCGCTGGCCTGGCTGACGGCACACTGGCAGTCACTGAGGTAAGGTCAAGGTCATGTCAAGGACATCTGTCACATTTTATGTCAGTTCCTACTAAAATATATTGCTGAGGATTCCTGGCTGTTAACTAGTTTACTATGAGAATTTCCTATTACAGCAACAAGACATAAGGAAGGTGTTCCCTAGCAATGATGTGCTGTACATACCAATTGGTCAGGCCCCTATCTCCTGTCTTCTGCTGCTGGATGATTTCTTGTGGTGTGCCAGTGGTAACAGTGTCAATGTCATTCAGGCCAGGTAGAAACATTTACCTGTCATTGCCTCTCTTACATAAGAATCATGAGTCCTTTGTTTATAGTGGAAGTGATTTGAATTTATTACATTCAGGACCCTGGATCCCATAGACAACTTCCATGTGTCTGTGAACCCATATGACCACATCCTGTCTATGGTGCCGGGGGACTACGGAATCTGGGTCACACTGAGAGGGTCCTCAATCCTGGAACTGTGGGATCCCAAAAACCTCAACTGCAAGTTACTGTACGATACCAGGACAGACAGATACCCACAGCTTAGAAAGGTCAGCAGGATGTTGATAATGTTGTAATATTTTACCTAAAATTGTTCCCTAGCAATGATTAATTGCTTGCTGCATTTTACCTAAAATTAATCCAGTAAGAAAATACAAAACATTAAATTACATAGACTTTAGTATTAATCAGAACGCAATGTACTGATACAAAAAATGTCAACCTCTCCACAGACAAAATAGAAAAATTATTCTAATTAATTCAGTTTTAAAAAATTAAACATTAAATTTCACAAGCTATAATTTTAATCAGACCACAATTTAGCAATAGTAAAAAATGTAAACTTCTCTTTACTTAAATAGATAAACAATTCATTTTTTCTTCATTACTTGGGCTCTCTGTTCTAGGAGGATGACACATATTTCAACCGAGCAAGAATTACGGCCATTATGGACCTTGGGACGACTGTCTGGGTAGGAACTGGGGAGGGCAATCTCATCATCTACGAAATTCTGGAGCATCTGAATCTGAAAACTCCAACTGATGCCTCTCCTACAACAGAAACAAGTCAGAAAATGATTTCTTCTGGAACTGCTACCCCAATCTCCAAAGCAAAGTCTGTCATTAAGAGTAAGAGCTCGCCTGTTCTCTGCAGCAAGCAAATCAGGAAGAGGTCCCCTAAACCAAAACTGCTTAAAGAGGAACATCAGCCTGTGTTGCCAGTAAAATCAGACTTACTGAGTAAGATTCTGAACAGTTCTGAAGCAGAATCCACTGGAAGCCTGACCCCTAAAAACTCTTCTCCTAGACATCCACCACTGTGTGGCAAAAAACTCACAGACCAAAAAGTACTTATGAATGGATGGAAAGAAACGGAGGTGAATTGTGTGGACTTCCAAATGAAAGACACGTTGACTGGGAGGACAGAATCAGAGAGTGATGGGAGCAGTAGTACTTATCACTCAGACAGGGAAGAAGAGTTGGGGGAACCTCTACATGATGTTCATCAGAGTAAGGTTCCCTGTACGATGGACGTCAGGGAGAGGAGAGAGAGTGTGGACTTCTCACCAAAACAGACTAAGGCCGTCAGACCAACCAACCTCCTACCTACCAAACAGTGGTCCTCAAGGCATAAAGACATTGCTAGTCAGGAGAATCTGGACTGTCTGTTTAAACAACTAATTGATGTGAAAAGAAGGAGCTCTCTGGACATTGCTATGAAGAATCATGTGAAGAAGACAAAATCTTGTGAATGCTTAACTTTTGACAATTCCTATTGTAATGGATTGGACACCAAGTCAGTAGACTCTGATCAGAAGGAGGACTGTGGTTTTCTCATTGATTGTTCAGTCAGTAAGACAGGTCAGAGTCCAATCACAGGCGAGGATTACCAGAAAGAGGCTCTACAGGAGACCATATCATGTGACACCAAGGTCATGTCTCGCCATCATAAGGTCAACTCCTGGCTGAGTTCTTTACATGATTCACAGTGTGATTCTGACAATGAAGAGATGAAGGAGGGTGAGTTTCATTCTAATATAGAGGAGAATCTTTGCAGTGGATCAAAGAGCACTACTGAAGGCAGTCCTGATCAGTTAAAAACTTCTGAAGAGGCTTTATGTAATGGTGTAGACAGTGTGTTAGAGACACAAAAGAGTGAAAATACTAGCAATACAAGTACCAGCATAAGCCATTCAGATGTCGACAAAGAGAGGCGAAGTAGTTGTGTGTCTGAAATAATGTCCAAAGTGTTGAGGCCCAGGAAATCTGAGGATAGAACTCTTGACACAAGTAGTGAGAGTGACCGACCAACACAGATGTCTAAATCTAATGCAGAGGAGGCCAAGTATTACTTAGAATTCAGTGAGATGCAGGTGTTGACTGATGTGGAAGGAGAACTGAGTCGACGGTCGAGTCAGGTCCGCAGGAGAAGCAGTGAACTATCTAGTGACATGGAGACCAGATTGATTACCCAGATGTCCAAGCTCGAGAACTGGTCCCTCAATAACAGTAAGTCTAGTGTCTCCTCCAGCCCCCGGATCCTGGAGTTGATGCAGACTCCCAGCTTGGCTAGCAGGCACCAGTCCGTGGGTCGAGTCTCCAGAGAGCTTGTCCCCGGGGACCTCAGTACCAGCAGTCCCCGCAGCTCCATGGATCAGAGGGTGGCAGACTTCCTGAGGACCCCCAGCATCAGCAGTAGACCCAGCTCTGTGTGGTCCAGTTATGAGAACATCTCCACCCCCTCAGTGAAGGAGCAGGACTTCATTGGTCAACAGTTTGCCAACATAAGCAGCTATCTGACACACACTGACAGCTCTAATTCACTCAGCAGCCTGGCTGAGGCTCTCTGTGTGGTGGAACTCTCCATGGAGGTCAAGGTCAAAATAGCCGACAAACCGGTCAGAGGATTTCTGAAAACAAGGTATGTTTCTAACTATTTCATATATTCTTAATGAATGTAAGATAACTTGAAAGATTGTTTTAATTGTCAGCACTCATTCCCTTTCAGAAACTGTGGTGAGCCATCGATACTGAGTTTTACTGGTTGTTATGGAGACGATGAATCTGTCTTGAAGTGGAGAAGAGAACCAAATGAGGTTAGTATAAAGATTTAACTCTAATTAGTTCAAATTCACAGAGACACCTCTTGAACACATCAAATAGATTCCTTCTACATGTAGTTTGTTGTGACATAAAGTTGTAGATATCAAAGGGCAATAACACAATTACTTTTGCATAATTATTCAAAATTTGACACTTGTGACAGCTAGCACCAAAAAGTCTAAATCATAAATAAAACAAGTATTAAACATCCAGTTTTTAAAGTTTGAAAAGATTTCACTGTAATGTGCAGTGAAATTTGTTACAGTGTCTTGAAGAGTCTGTGCTTGTCATATTGCCATGATCTATTGTATGATTAGTTATAGGAGATACTGTGATAAAGTGTGATTAATTTTATTCAGAAATTCTGGACCAATGAACCAGTGTTAGAGATCTGTCCTAAGACCAAGTTGACGCGGTTGCCAAGCTACATGAGGGGACGGCTATCCAGCGTCTCTTCTCAGGCCAGCACCAAGAGTTTTCACAGCGTGTCCTCACAACTCAAGTGAGACAGACCAATAGTTTCGAGATCTTGCTTCTACAAGATGCATTGCCTCAACACCCCAGTAACTGCCCAGTCATCACTATTTTGCCATTACCTTGGATTTTCAACACATAATTTTCGATTTGCATTTCGTTCATTAAATCACTGTTAAGAGAGGAATTAATCTTGTGCTAAAATCAATATCGTCCTTGTCAATGTTGATATAGAAATCTGATTTTTTTAGCTATATCAATGAAGTTGAGGAAGCTTATATAATACCTTCAGTGTTGTTGTTGAGGTCCCAGGTTAAAGTTTATAAAGCAGATTTATTTTTCCAAGTACCGCAATGCCCTATATTGATTAGATGATACTTGCGGTTGGTTTCATGGTTTGACATGTTAATATTATTACAGTCAAGAAATCCTCAATGAATTCTTCATTCAACATCTTTGACCAGAGAAGCTTATACACACATCTCTTCAGAAGATCACCTATGGCAATATATTACCAGAATGCTGAACTCAGATATATATCACATACATGAGCAATTACAATTCTTACATATTTTTATTCATGTTCAAATTTCCGTAACAATATTGATATTCTAGATGCATTCAATGAAGTCAATTTTGAATCTTCTTTTAAGAGTGATTTTTAAGAACTGTAAATTCAGAAGACTATATATTTGTTGTCTTACTAGTATAACAGGTGCCATATGTATACGATTATAAAGGACAGATGATACAAATTTCTATCTATGAGCCTGAAAATAACAACCTATTAAAGATATATTTATACGCGAAAAATGAATAAGTTTAACTGCACACATTTTAATTTTTTGTTCTTAGTTTCACAGTAATGGGATGAAAAGTGACAAAATTGTATAGGTTGATAAGAATGGTTGCAGAAACTTTGAATTTTGAACATCTGAGAAAATTTACTATTTCTAAACATTTATGAAATTAATTAGTCACATCATTTATAACCAAACAGGTCAATAATATATCCCAATCCAGGTATCCATATTTTTGTTTGTATCATCTGTCCTTATGTAGCTATGAGTTTGAAAACTTTTTTTTTCTTTTGTGGTTGCTTCTGAATTTACAGTGATTGAAGGTGCAAGGCTTTGACAATAGAATTATACTTATTGGATATCATAATGGTATTGCAATATACATGAAATAGGTGTTTAATGTATATTGCATGCTAAACTAACATGTCCAATATGGTGTTTACTAGATGAGGGACTTGTATATTAACAGGTCACTGGCTATGTTTTTTAAGCCAGTAATCATTTATATCTTACTTGTTGACCAATTACAGCTAACGAGTTACATTTGTAAACTTGAAATTTACATCTTTGCTTCCCCATACAAATAGTGCAATAGACAATATATTTTAGTGCAATTTTCGTAAAGGAGCATATTTACAGAGACATGTTTATTATATATGAAAGAGTGAAATGGACTTCAAAAACTTAATTTCATGTTTCTGTTTCAAAGTGCTTGTTGTTACATCAGAAACGGTTTTTGGTTTGTTTTTGTTTTTTTGGTTTTTTTTTATCAGTAAGTCTTATGATGCAAAGAGCTGTGTTTGCTCTTTATGTATTATTGAACATGTAACTTATTATTTTTTATTCTTGATATAATGAATGGGTAATGCAGCTTTTGGGAACCACTTTTAACAGAACCCTAAATTGCTGCAAGTACTCATAACTAAATGTTCATTATGTAAATAAATTGAGATTGTTAATTTTGTTTTTGAACACTGTGCTAGTTTTTGCCTTTGGTGTTCATTGTTAGATTCTTCATTTGATCTCTTGTACAATGAGTAGTGGCATTATATTATTGTAAATATTGTAGTCATGGTGATGGTCTTGACCCAGTTGTGAAGTGTGTGTAATGCTGTTCTTTTTCCTTCACATCTGCTCAGTGACTCAAAAAATGGATAAATAGATTAAATACATGTTAAAGGTGTTTTAACAATTCAGTATAATGCAGTGTCCTTAAATTTGTGATAAATGATCAAATGAGCTTTCCACACAATTGTTACGAAACATTCAGTTTGTTGATTGTTATATATTAAAGATGTTGATACCTTTGCCTACAGCTTTTTTTTTTGTTTGCTTATTAAACCTTAAATTACCTAGTAAATGGAAGCATCTAAAGTCAGTGCATATTATATTCAGTTTTCTTCAAATCATGTGACCGCCGGAGGAAGGGTGGGACCACTATGGGTGATCAAAGTTTTACATCGAGCTTAGGTAAAATCTTTCAAAAAATTTTTCATGAACAGCGAAGTCATGATTAATCATATATATGTTTATTTATGACTTAAAATCTTAAGAATAGTAAAATCCATGCTTTGTCATATTTGTATGGAAGCGTCCTCAGGTTTGGTCCAATCCTGACACCTGGGGGTAGGAAGGGGCAGGATGGGATCTATATCAAACTTCTAGGAAAAATAAAATCTACTTTACTATAAACATGATATGTTTATACATGTAGTATAGTTGATGTAAATTTTGTAAACAATTCAGATGGGGAGTGATTATGATATATACATGGAAAAACTTTGATGATTGCTTGATTGCTTTAGGTATAATTGTAGGGGACAGTCTTATAGGAAATGTACATAAGGTTTGTAGCTGCTGTTCTGTTATAGTACATGTAACGATGGAACAGTGGAACCCCACTGGCTGCTTAAAAAGTTATATTGGCAGTATATGTATCTTCTATCATTGTTCCAACTAGGAAATGGACTATAAAAACTGATTGTTCAAATCCCACTTTATTTCTTTTCTTGGTATACATGGTGAATTATGCCACCTAATCCCTGAACGATCCCACTAGCAATCATGGCCGCACCACTGCAATAGAATCCTGGGCCATAGAGTCCGTAGAAGTCCTTCAAAAGACCTGAAATATTTATAATAGCCTTATAGGTGTTTAATGTATTTAGAGATCATAGAAAATCATAGATTACACGGGCCACATGATAAAAGTAAGCTGGTGCTGCTACCCACATTGTGTAAGATCTTTACCTGAAAGAGGTGGGCCAAATAAAACCCCGAAGCCTTGAAAACACACCAGTAATCCAAGGGAACTAACTACGTGTTCCACACCCAATATATCCACCACTAGTGTGGCTTTCTGTGCTAGTCCCGAGCCTAACAGAAACCCGTATACAGCACATGTAAACGAAAGCCACTCGAACACTCTCAGGAATGGCGTGATAAACGTTAGAATGCCGAGTATAAATAGAACTATGTTATAGATGAGCAGCCTGTGCGGTCTGATCATTGGTAAGTCTAGTATGATGCCGGATAAGATGCTTCCGGCCGTTTCCAGAGCACCTGCGATGGACACAACATAGACCGCTTCTATGTCAGTCTGGCCATTTTGGATGGCAAGAGGAGGTAGGAATACGTAGAAGGCTTGGAAAGACAGCGTGTATAAACAGATTCCTATGCAAAAACTTAAAAACTTAATATTCCGCAAAAGCGACAGATTGAGGAGTCCCGGATTTGAACTCCCTCTGGATTTTGGAATTTCAGTCTCGGCCGCTGTTGAATTTAACGATTTTTGAGATCTGTTGTGAAGCTGCATACTCCCGGCTAAGTTGATCACTTCTGAGCTTGCTCCATGTAAAATAAGAGATGCAGACAAAGTGCTTAGAAACTTCTTGTTCGTTTGCAATAAGTTTGGTAAACTGCGGGTGACTTCATTTTGGTCTGTCTGTAACTTTGGAAACAGAGGAGACCTGGCGCCGTTTGTATTTGAAAAGTCAGAACCACTGCATTCTTCACTGCGTTTACTTTCATAAAAAGTCGGTTCTTTGATTTCGATCTCCGTTTCGAATGGCTTCCTATACAAAATGGAAAAGACCATATACTGTATTAGAAATGTATCGAACTCTATCAAAAAGATGTAAAATTGTCTCTATAATTTTATATAAGTGTTATATATGTAAATTTTGTAGAACATACATCATTTGTACCGTTTTGAAATTCGATTCTGCACAGTCAACGGTCGAAACAAAGCACCAGCAACACTGGATTGTAATCCAAAGGCAGCCAACAGAATAAAGGCTCCGGTAAAACCAAAGTTCTGGAAAAGAATTTCAACAACAGGAGGAACCAGAAATGTTCCGGAACCGATCCCGGCGTTAGCGATTCCCGCCGCAGTTCCGCGTCTTCTCTCGAAGTACAGAGCGACGATCACAACCGCTGGTGTGTAGATAAAAGCTCTGCCGATACCTAGGAAGCAAAAAGAAACCGACCGTAAATATTTTATTTAAGATATGTAATCAATCACAGTAAATGAATTTAAAAACTTGCCTCCAACTATGGAATAACTGAAGAACAGAAATGCCAGATTTGGTGTAAATCCACTGATTAACACGCCCACACACAATATAACACCACCAACGATCACAACGGTGCGACATGAGAATCGATTGCATAGGACACTGGCTAGTGGACCTGAAGAATAGATTCCAAGATAATTCTGTGAAATCACTTATTTCCGTTGGAGTTTAATTTTTGTCGTTTAATTCGAGGAATGAAGAGACCCCCGAGACAAACATATATGCTTGAAACAATTCTTCATCCACGGAATCAAATCTCCACAAAGTTGGCGCAAACCCATACTTTTTCCTCAAATCACGAAAATTTGTCCCATGAAAATATGTTATTTTATCTTGTTCGCTTTGTGTCCTATTTAAAAGGTTTCTCCTGGTAGAAATTTTCATGGAAAGCTTTAGTACTATGTTGCAAAACTGCAATAGGGCAAATCTTTCCCTATACAGCAAATTTTCCCTTTGTAGCCTTGCTTTCCCGGGAATATTGGATATATAGTAGATATTCCATTCATTTTTTTCCCATAAAAACAAACCATCAATTTAGAACAGACGTAGAGCTATCCGGGAGAGGGAGGCCAAAACTCTCCCCTTCATTTAATATGAACTTCGATCGGTGTATTAGTTATCTCTGGCAACAGTGACTTTGAACCCCCTAGAAGCCCTTTCCAAGCAACGTAAAACCCTCCACCTATTTTCGGAAAGGATAATACTTACCAAAAAGCATGCGAACGGTGACGGCCAGTGATATGACCCATGCTGTGTCTGCTGCAGATTCATTGAATTTTTCTCTTAGTTGGAGATAAATTACTCCTCCCGATCGCATGAACCCTCGTAAAAATGGAAAGATAACTTGTTAGAAACAGTGCCTAGCAAGCTGTATTGAAACAACAATATCAGCAGTCTCGTTTAAAGTCATTATTTCGTAAGTTCTATGGTCGATACAATCACCTTTTCAGCAAATACAATTTATCATTGAGTCAAATGCTAACTGGCTTTTTTATACTTATTGTTAGTCCATTATTTAATTACACACTGCATCGACGAAGGATTTTTCCGTTATTTCCCGATCATGACAAAGAGCATTCGACGGATGTAACGGTCGGCGGGGGAAGCTCACTTCTCCATGGCACCTGATCCCACCTCATGTTTTGGAGGTCCGTGTTTGCTCGGCATCTTTTTTGGTTTGTTTTATGGCCTTTTTGAGCTTGAATACTGTTCGTTATCTCCATATATTTCATTTTTTAAAGCCACATAGAACTTACCAAATTATCATTGATCATCACAATGGAAATAAATTGATATTTTTTTTGAAATCTTATTCATAAAAATTTCTGTAAACCAACTTTTTATTTTCGTGTGAGAACTTTCCGTGAATTTACTGTAAAGTATTTTATTATATATGCCAAATTTTCAATAGTCATGAAAAGCAGTTCTGACCAAATTGCGAAAAAAAAAATTGTCGCGAATAATGGTTTACACTATAAGAACACATCAACTGCCTTTTCGTAAAATGATGGAAATTTTTTTTCAGCAATACACGAAATAATACAAACATTTGAAAAAGAAAATTCTCTGGAAAGGGCAAGAACAGATTTTTAACAAACAACGACACTGTAAAGCGTAGCATTCAAAGAAATTCCGTTGAGAATATTGCATATATGCATGATTGCAGAACGGAATTTCCATTCGGTCGATTAAGGTTTGCGCCAAGTTTGTCTCAAATCCATCGCCAAAGCTTTCCAAACTTTAACCACACTTAATTCCAACTTATATGGACTTGAAGTAAGTAGAATTTTTTCTCTAGCAGTCAGATATCTCCGCTATAAATGTTTTTTTTTAAGTTTATAGGTATACATGTAACTTGTTTATTTAAATTTTGTAAAAAGATCGCTTCAGGACCCTATGTATATTGACTGGACATTCCTGACAATAGACACCCTTACAACTCAAAGGCGCTTGGTTTCAGGATGGTATATTTAGTGTTTTTCTAGGTGTATGTGAATACCTCATCAAAATAAAAATTAAAAATCGCTGAAATAAATAAGATTTGCTCGTCGTCGGTGCCAGTTTCTGACAGTTTCAATTACATTATAGTTCGCAAAATTGCAAAAAGTGTTTGCGTCCTATTTTAAGTCTACATAGGCGTAGTCACAGGCCCCCCCCCACTTTCAGATCGGGGGGGGGGGGGGGGGGCAAGAGTATGTCTGTGCCCCCCCCCCCCACTTTTTCATGAAGAACAAAATCACAGCTATGTTGAAATAATATTAAACCTCATTTTATGGCAATTTTTTTTTTATTTTCAACAACTGAGTAAGCATTTCTCTTGAAGTAATAGTTGTATAATATATATGTGTAGTAATGTAATATAGTAATTAAATCTGTCAAGACCTCTTGTTTAGATGTTTCTGTTTCTCTCAGCATCTGTTATCTAATAAAATTAAATGAAAATCACAAGCTACCCCTTGTGTTGACATCTGAAATTCATTATTTATTTGCTGTATCCCATTTCTTGTATAACACATAGTCACAAAGTAAGTTTTGTCAAATCTCCGGATTTTTAATTATTTAATTTTGCTGATTCATTATCACTCTTTTATTTTTACATATATGTACTATAGAATTGTAGTCAATCCAAATCTCATCAAAACAAGTAATTTCTACAAGATAGCTGCAGTATTGGAGATTCTGATTTCGGTATACCTGTGATGAATGTCAATCAACTTTAAAAACACTATTTGAAATCCTCTCATTCAGCTTAGACATGGGTTTGATATCACTTTGGCTAGCTGATTTAAGGGGGCGTGAGGGACGCACACCCTAAAAATTTTTAAAGTATGATATGATTAATATTATTAATGCCATACTTTGATACATATCTAACCAATGCCACTATTTTTGTTTCTCGAAAACTCAGGAGCTTCCAGGGGCTTCGCCCCCTAGGCCCCACCATTCAAAGTGTGATATGACTAATATTATTTCATGCCATACCCCCGTATTACATATCCTGTATTCGCCCATGGATATTACATGTTGTACATCTTAATATTTCTTTATATAACACACACGGCCTTAAGGCTTTGGAATTGAGGGTTGGATTGTAGGCAATATATAAAATACTACAGAAAACTTGGAACTATATGCTGGTGCCCCCTCAATAAAACCGTCTGATGACCTTTTTTTTTTTTTTTTGCTTGTCAAAGAATTTCTGGAGTTGAGTCCCCCCCCCCACTTTTAAGTTTGTGACTACGCCTCTGGTCTACATTTTTCAGTCACCAGCTTAATTCAGGTGAAGTGCCACGATATAAAGTGACCTCTCAGTAGAGTTTTGTGAAAATTTCAATACGAGTTAGTACTGTCATCATATTAATTTTTTCTCATTCATTGTAATCTGTCACAAGAAAACAATGTCCCTGCTTTAGTAATTTGTGAAGAACATAATATTCCACCTTATCTAAGAATTGTTGTCCAACACTTGAACTTAACCTCACTCATAAAGATAATTTGTCATGTGTCCAGACAAAACAGCTGACTCCAGTTAACATAGAAACAGCTGATCAGTTCAGTGGCCTCCGTACAAAATATACGTAGCTGTCAGCAAGAGAAAATTATTGATATATATTTAACTACTGTCACATTTGCAGCATATTTAATATAACATAACAATAAAGTTATTTTAAATTCGCTTTTACAGGAATAATTTCAATCGGAAAAATTCTTAAAATAGAAATACTTATCAATGACGAGATGTGCAAGGAAGCTCCCCCCGACCACCACCCAGCCGTACCCCCCGTCAGGAACACGGGGGTGGGTCTCATCGTCTGTCCCCTTTCCACTGTTCCCGGACATGTGACTGTTGGACCAAAACGATCGTCACCAGATGTCAGTTCTCTCTGGATCGTTGGAGCATGCCTAGGTTGTTGCTAAGAATATTTAACATGGATCGAGTTGTCCTCGGTTCAAGAATTTTCATAATTTATTGGTAAAAATAAAGTTCACTGATGCGTTTTGCATTCAAGAATTCAGTTGGACAGACTTATTTATTTTACTTTTTACTACACCTATGTTTTTGTGATGTTAAACTAATTACTAGTATTTGTCAAAAGTTCTATCAGTGTGCATGCTTGGAGATGCATTTCGACTCTGTATGCTTAACTCAGCTGCGAGGATTGAAAAGCGAATAAAATTAAAATAACAGTTTTACACAGGGAATATAGTTATTTTGCATTTTACCTAGGGTCTCCATGTTCAAGCATTAATTATCGTGATGAAATATCTTAAAGCACAGAAATAAATACTATGAGCGAGAGACCGTAACCTATATCGGCATCATAGTGTTTGACATAGGTATTCTGCTTTCCCACCATATATTTGTCACATGCAGGCGCGCGGATCTAGAAATTTTTCTAAAGGGGGAGGGGGTTGAAGAGGAAAAGAATTATTATAACATAACACGTTTTACATATACATGTAGTTAAATACCTCAATATGATACAGGGTGGAGTGTGGTTTTTAAAAGTTTGAGGTTGAACTACCTGGGACAAAAATCGTATGGATTACTTGAAAGATTTTGAAAAAGAATGAGAAAAAATTCTCCGAACCCGAAAATCCTATTTTTTTTTAAAGAGGTTGGGATTTCATTTTGTTTTCAAACCGAATTTCTGTATATGTTACAACATGCTAGCCTGTCACTGAACATTTCTATAGTTAAAACACAACAAAAATTTGGGACTTTCTTCTTTTTCTCTTTTTTTGCAAGTCCAAGGGGGGGGGGTACAACCCCCGTACCCCCCCCCCCCCTCTGGATCCACCACTGAAAGGCAATATTCATGATAAATACAATCTTCTTGTAGACCAAAACATAGGTAATCAGAGATTACAGAGCTCATCTCAACGAATGTTGTCTTTAAGTATGGCAAAGTCACACAATTAACCAACAAAAAGTGTACATCCAAAAATGCAAAATTTATGCAATTTTGTTTTGGAATAGAACTATATAAAAACTTCAAACTAGTTCTTCATCATGAAAATGTTATTAAAATCCAGCATCTGAAGCAAGTCTGGGAGTTTTCATCCCTTGATGCATCATTTGTGCAAGTTTGGTTTATATAAGCCTTATAGTTTCTTGGAAATATACCTGCACCCATAACTTTTACCAGGTCCATTATCTGGAAGATGTATGTTGAATTCAGCATCAGAAGCAAGTCCATTAGTGTGCATCCTAAGATGTATCATCCATGCAAGTTTGCTCAACATAGGGCTCATAGTTACTGTACTTGGAAATGAAACCTGTATAAAAAAAACTAACCTTTTCACTAATCCAGAAAATGTAGGTCAGATTTAGCATCCAAAGCATTTAAGCCTGGTAGAATACATCCTTATACATGTATGTATAATCCATGCAATTTTGGTTATTAAAGAGCTCAAAGTTACTTGGAAATGAATCCTACACCAAAAACTTTAACCTGTTCACTCATCCGGAAAATGTAGGTCAGATTCAGCATCCGATGCAAGTTTGGTCATTATAGGGATCATAGCAACTTAGCTGCAGATCTGTAGCGTTATGGTTTTATATATTTGTCTCTTACCATAACGCTACAGATCCCATAATGCAAAAAAGGTGCAATTTACGGCGCAATATTTTTTGCGCACTTTTGGGGGAATTTTGTCCACTTTCTGGCATTGGGCAATCAACTACCTTGCACTCCCTAATTCTAGACACATTCTGTAGCCAATATGCATATTTTATCCAGCTCCCAATTATTCATAGTTGTCTCCACTGGTAATAAACTCGCTTGAAATAAATTTTCAGCAATCTAACAAATAATTTTAAGCAAGCGCGTTTATCACTTGTAGAGACGACTAAAAAGGGTTGCGAGATGGATAAAATATACAGATTAATAGTTTAATAATGTGCCTAGAATTAGGGAGTGAAAGATAGTTAATTGACCATTGCTGGAAAGTGGAGATATTCTCCCCAAAAGTACGCAAAAATTTTTTGCTTTGCATCAATTTTACTTGTTTGTGTACAGTACTCAGATAAAAATAGTTTCACATTGAGGAACTGGCCAGGTAATCAGTCAGGACTTCCACACAATGTGTTTATTTTCTGCTATAATCATAAATTAGTGAACTTATTCGGTGAATAAATTATTAAATCAGAAAAATGAACAAAATCCTTAGTTCGCGGATATCACCATATCCGCTTAGAAAATACATGGCTTTACGATAAGTCTCCGGAACGTTTTACATAAGTAGATTACGAGATAAAGAACCAAGATTATGTTTCACTTGAACGAAGCTGCTGGAGATGGGAAGCTGGCTGACGTGTCTTGCGTTTTGTTGTGTTTTTATAACATTTATTGGTGAAAGGAGCTATTTTGTGATTTGTGATGACTTAGAAATTAAAACTGCTGTCGAATGTGACTTAAAATATGCGGAACCGACTGTTATGATAGCGATTCTAGTCAGAAACAAAGCTCATGTTTTACCATGGTTCTTTGGTCACTTAGAAAATCTTAATTATCCCAAGGACAGAGTAAGCATTTGGTAAGTTATCTACTTTGATATTTATTGTGATTATAAAACAGGTTCTTGTGTCCGTAGCATCATCCAACTTTTGTTTTGGAACAGTTAGGGACCAGTCGTCAAAGTGGGAAATAATCAGTCTGACTTTTATACAATAATACATCAGTTGTCAATTTTGGATTAATTAGTCTCAGCGAGATTCGTCGAGATTAAAAAAAAAAGATGTACTGATTAAGAGACATCAGTTCAAAAGTTTTGGGATATATTTACATCCACTGGATATTGTGTCCTTTATCTGTTTATTAAAAAAAATCTTTGTCAGCTACTCAATCTTACTATGACTGATTATATCTATTCAGATATAAGTGTAAACAATAAAATGTCTTTACACAGGTTATGTATTTTTTTCTGCAACTTCTTCACCATTAATTCCTTGAACAGGTCCAGTCCAGATATATTAATAGCTACCTAGGTATGCTAAACATAATAAAATGGTCCATATCTTTTGATACATTCACACTAAGGATTTTTGGCCAAAAAATGATTACTTCCTGAATCGGCAATTTAACATTAGTTTCTATGCAAAATTGATGATATACGATGTAATCATTTTTTGGTCAAATTTTTGTCATATCCATCATCAGTGTGGCTGTATGTTTTGTGCTCACCATGTTTTTTCATTTGGCCACAAAATGCAAGTAAAGCAGAAAGTTAAAAATAGCTTTTGGGTAGCAAATACCAGGTAGCTATTATTCCTTGAAACCAGAGAGAAAATTTGTTGTTAATAATATCCTTAACCCGATATATATATCACTGTGAAAAAAAGTAAGCTATAGTTTTTGGTATAAAATAGGTTTTTCTGTGTAATTTTCTCACTGTGGAGGAGACCGATTCTCTAGAAGATGCAGAACTTCTCTGGAATCAATCTAACAAACTTAAGGAAAAAACACATGCTTGCAAATATGTTATTGCATTTAATATTCACATTTTTTTTTTTACAGATTAACAATACTATGACAAAATATTTTATCCCCTTTTTTCACTGTTAATTTATTTTATTTATGAATTTTTTATCCCAAACCAGGTTTATTACATATGTATCTAATTCTAAAAATATTTTATCCCAGCCTGTTGAATCCTTCAATGTCAGGGTAATTTTGCTGACACAATGATGTTTAATAATTATATGTAAATATCATGAAAGACCCCTTGTTGTGACAGAATTGGGAGGGTTCAATCTAAGAGATGTGTATATTTTAATATGAGGAACTCCTGAGTCTACAATGAACTTATTTTGGAAGATAGATAAATCTGTATCAGTTGAAGAGGTAAAAAATATCTGTTATGTGAAAAAAAAACCTACCCTCAAAAAGTTTGAAAATTATAAGAAATTTATTTTTTAGGCTTTATATTATATATAGATTATATTTGAGGTAAAAGACATAGATAAACTCTGTTATGATTAATTTGATGGTTATGTTTTCAGTGGATTTTTTTTTATATTCACCAAAACATAGCAGGAGCTGTCTGCTGATGTGCTCTGTTTGCTATACAGTGTATATTGAACGAAATGTGAAGTACATGTTTATTCTGACTTTTAAAATAAGATATACCAACACTTTAAGTGATTCAGTTAATAAGACTTTATTTATCTAACTGAATCATTCTTAATTTAGAATTATCATCTTGTTCTTCTATCCAATAATACAGCTGGCATACACTTCTGTAAAAGCATTGTACATTTATTTCAATGAATGTAACATTAACATTTGTTTGATTGGCCAGGAGGATATTATTACACAATTTTATTTGTCATAATCCTCAATATCCTTTATCATATTGATAGAAAAATCTAAAAGCAGGATAATGATATTAAGTGTAATGTGTTTAGAGTATCTTATAGATTAAGATAACATTAAACATTTTTAATAAAATTTCAAAATAAATCGTATGATTCAATAGGTATTTGACATTCATCTCTAGCCTTCATTTTCCATTTCTTTTTTTTTTCAATAGATTTCAAAAGAATAGAGTTATATTAAATCAAGATGCTGAGCCATGAATTGATATACATGTATTATGTTTTATATTTGATTCAGGATAAGAAGTGATCATAATAAAGATGACACAGCACGAATTCTTACAGAGTGGACAGAGTTTTATAAAGATATCTACCACAATATTGATATTGAGATTGACACAAATACACAAGGTAAGAACAAGATTTATAAAGATATCTACCACAATATTGATATAGATATGTACCACAATATTGACATAGATATCTACCACATTGATATAGATATCTACCACAATATTGATGTAGATATCTACCACAATATTGATAGATATCTACCACAATATTGATATGGATATCTACCACAATATTGATATGGATATCTACCACAATATTGAAATAGATATCTACCACAATATTGATAAAGATATCTACCACAATATTGATATGGATATCTACCACAATATTGATATGGATGTCTACCACAATAATGATATGGATATCTACCACAATATTGATATGATATCTACCACAATATTGATATGGATATCTACCACAATATTGATATGGATATCTACCACAATATTGATATAGATATCTACCACAATATTGATATGGATATCTACCAAAATATTGATATGGATGTCTACCACAGTATTGATATGGGTATCTACCACAATATTGATATGGACATCTACCACAATATTGATATAGATATCTACCACAATATTGATATGGATGTCTACCACAGTATTGATATGGATATTTACCACAATATCCATATGGATATCTACCACAATATACATATAATGGATATCTAAAACAGTATTGATATGGATATCTACCACAATATTGATAGAGATATCTACCACAATATTGATATAGATATCTACCACAATATTGATATAGAAGTCTACCACAATATTGATATAGATATCTACCACAATATTGATATAGATGTCTACCGCAATATTGATATAGATAACCACAATATTGATACAGTACAAACCGTTTATTATCACACCGGTTTTATAGCATACTCTGTTTTTTATCATAGATATTTAAAACACAAAACCATTCAATGTTAATTTCTTACATTATTTACCACAATATTGATATAGATATATACAACAGTGGATAAGTAATGGTAGGAATCTGTTTATATGATATGTTTTTTATAAGCTAAACTGCAATATTTTTAGCTATCATGTGATTGCTGAATTCACTGTTTTAGAATATGAGGATGCTGAAGGTCCCTTACACTGGTCGGAGGAGAGGTTTGACAGAGTTATTTCCCTTAGAGAAGAGGCTCTTCAAACAGCTAGAAAAGTTTGGGCCGACTATCTGTTTGTAAGAAACTTAGTGTCATTAGTGTCATTTTCATTTACTATCTTTTTTAAAGAAAGCATGGTCACTATCTTGTAAAAATAATATGAATGCTTAGATTATTTTTCTCTAGATGTTGGATGCAGATGTGATCCTAGAAAATCCTGATACACTAACTCTCCTAATTGATGCCAAACAGTAAGTTTCCAGTTGTTGTATACTTGTAATAGCGTAGTGAATAATCTTTGCTCGTTATAGAGTAAAATTTGATTAAAAGAAGTTATTTGGACATCGGTTTTTGCTTCCTTATCACCAAGATTATCTAAATCACATAGTCTGCAGCAGGTTCAGATAAAGTCCTTATATCTGATATTTCTTTATAAACAAGTTCTTCATAACTGAGTTTTACTGTATTATTCATTATTAATTTGTAAATGTTCTACTTTTATCATAATAGTTTTTTGTAAATGTCATAAACTTGTACGTACAATTTTTTCTGTAACTATTTCTGTAGACCTATTGTGGCTCCTATGTTGAATGCAAGTATTGGAGAGACCTATTCTAATTTCTGGGGAGCAATGGATGAGTCGGTATGTGTTTTTCTTTCAGTATACCTCTGTATACCCCTATATTATGATTTATGCAATGCTTTCAAGTGCACAATGTAATTTTAAATGCACAGATGATATACCTTGTAATTGATTTTTAATTGGAAGAAATGTATAAATTTCCAGGGTTATTATAAAAGAGCCCCTGGTTACTTTGAGATTCTAGAGAGGGAGAAGCTGGGTGTATTCCAAGTGCCTATGGTACACAGTGCTGTGCTGATGGACATGCACCTCCTGGTGTCCGATAAATTTATGTACCAGGTGCCCCCGGGGTACGAAGGTCCTCATGATGACATCATCATCTTTGGTATTAACATCAGAGATGCGGGTAAGAGGCATTACAAGAAGATCTTACAGTGAAGACAAAATTAGAGTGATAGAGCATTACCTTCTTTGTGGAAGTTAATAAATCTTATAAACAGTTTCGTCTTTATGACACAGGATCTTAGTATTGGGGGAGGAGGATCAATTGAGTTTTTTTATCTGGCTGTCTTCTCCCTTTTAATAAAAATGAAACTAACGGTACGCACCTCATATAATTTTTAGAATTAACAGTATAGAAGTTTGACAACTAACAGCTATTTTTTCCAGATATACTGTTAATATCTCATCTATTGACATTAAAAATTATCATACTATTGTTACTAGTAAAATCTTGGTTGATAATTATTTTTTAGGAATGGTCATGCATATAACGAATTCTGAATATTTTGGAATTGTCATGGTACCTTTGGAGAAACACAACACTCTGGAGCAGGAAAGTGAACACTTTGACTATGTTCGATTGAAGGCAATAGGTAAATGAGATTGTTATTTTTAAGGAAATTTAACTAATGAGGTAATGAAATCTGTAGGATTTGTGAGATTTTATTGAAGTATTTTGCTCTGTAGTACTCTGAAGTCTGTAATGGGGCAAATGGACATAAATATGGTCAGTATAAATAGGTGCTGGGTTTTACTTTTATATTATTATTTTTTTTTATGTGCCCGCATCGATAGATCCGGGGCGTATATTGTTTTTGTTCTGTCTTTCTGTCTTTCTGTTTATCTGCAAACTTTAACCTTTGCCATAACTTTTGAACCATGAAAGGTAGAGACTTCATATTTGGTATGCATACTCCAGTAATAAATCTCTTTCAAATGGCACCATGGTCAATGACCTTGTGACCTTGACTGTGACCTATATGCTAAAAATAGCTTTTTTCTGCAAACTTTATCCTTCGCCGTAACTTTTGAACCATTAAAGATAGAGACTTCATATTTGGTATGCCTATTCCACTAATGAAGGTCTTTCAAATTGCACCAAGGTCAGTGACCTTGTGACCTTGACTGTGACGTATATGCTAAAAATAGCTTTTTTGTCTTCAAACTTTAACCTTCGTCATAATTTTTGAACCATGAAAGATAGACTTCATATTTGGTATGCTTATTTCACTAATTAAGTGCTTTCTAATGTCACCAAGGTCTATGACATTGTGACCTTGACTGTGACCTATATGCTAAAAATAGCTTTTTTGAACCTTAACCATAACTTTTGAACCATGAGAGATAGGGACTTCATATGTGGTATGCATACTCAACTAATCAAGTTTTTTCAAATGATACCAAGGTCTATGACCTTGTGACCATGACATTGACTTATATGCTAAAAATAGCTTTTTTTGAACTTTGTGCCACCGGGCGCACACATCTTGTTACATTTCAATTCATCATTGCCAAGAACTCTTTGAAGCCTAGTAATTGAAACAAATATCTAGATCTAAAATATTTTATTTTCAGCAAAAAAGGTAAAGCTGTAAAAAAATCATACAAAATGATAACAGACCTTAAAATGTTCTAACCATATTTTAAAAGAGATGTTATAAATTTCCAGTGTGACAGAATATTTGAAAAGTTACACAGCTGAAGACATTCTTACAACCCTTAGACTTAAATCAGAAAAAAATCACTTGAGCTTTTAATAATCGAAATAAGCAGGAACTGATCATTTTGTTATATATCAGAATTAAAGTTTACATATTGAGTCATGCATTTTTTCTTTTGTTTTGTTGTCTGAATTAATTCATCACTGAAAAGTTGTCACAGGCAAATTTTAATAAAGGTACATTCTTGACAGAGAGTACTGGTGAAAAGAATCTGTTGCCCATATTGTAAACAGTGGATTTTCTAGCTTTTTATGTCATCATAATAAAATGATTAATTGTAGATGCAAACTTTGTTGATGAGATGAAAATAGGCAGAAAGTTTCCAGGTTTGAAGGCATTCATTTCCAACACTATATTGATTAAATTAAGGATTTGATATGAATGTGGTGTTCAAAGCATGATTCTAACTGTTGGTTTGTTTGACTCAAAGACTGAATGTTACTATGCATACAAGGCTGTCACTTATATGAATGCAAGAGAAAGAACTGGATATTTAAATCAAAGAATTTCTTAGAGAATGTGTGTGCATTTTAATGTTCATTAAATATATATTATTAACCACTAATAGACAGCAGCCAAAGAAACGTTAGAAGACAAAAGTTATTCAATATGATACACAAGAAATATATTTACCTCCTTCCAATTTCAAGGGATGAGGGTGGTCACCTATTGTGTTGTCTAAAACTTACAAAAATGTTCTATACTGATATGTTAAAAAGTTCCAAATAGGACTCGGCTATGAAATTAAGTATGTGACAAAAATCTAACTTGTTCCATCACAATTTTCATTAAAATTATTCTGCCCTCAAAGTTAACTTGCTATACATGTATCATGAAACTTTACCTGAACAAATAGAGCCAACTCAGAATAAAGTATAGTATGATCAGATAAATGAAGTCAAGTCATAGGAAACATACACTGGATAAAAAGAGCCAGTCTGAGGAAAGTTTACACAGAAAAACAAAGTTGTGCCCTTGGAAAATTTACCTAGCTGAATGTAGCCAAGTAAGAAAAAAGAACACCAAGAAAGGTTCAGAGGAAATTAAACCAAGATCACTGGAAAGATCAGATGAAAGTAGGCCTAGCTAAATTAAAGATGCTAGAGGAAAGTTTTCCCAGATGGATAGAGTCAAGTCAGAGGAAAGTTTACCCTGATAGAGTCAGGTCAAAGGAAAGTTTACCCAGATATACAAATCAGGTCAAAGGAAAGTTTACCCAGATATACAAGTCAGGTCAGAGGAAAGTTTACCCAGATAGAGTCAGGTCAGAGGAAAGTTTACCCAGATAGAGTCAGGTCAAAGGAAAGTTTACCCAGATATACAAGTCAGGTCAGAGGAAAGTTTACCCAGATATACAAGTCAGGTCAGAGGAAAGTTTACCCAGATAGAGTCAGGTCAGAGGAAAGTTTACCCAGATATACAAGTCAGGTCAGAGGAAAGTTTACCCAGATATACAAGTCAGGTCAGAGGAAGTTTACCCAGATATACATTGATGGAAAGTTTACCCAGATATACAAGTCAGGTCAGAGGAAAGTTTATCCAGATAGAGTCAGGTCTAAGGAAAGTTTACCCAGATATACATCGATGGAAAGTTTACCCAGATATACAAGTCGGAGGAAAGTTTACCCACCTATACAAGTCAGAGGAAAGTTTACCCACCTATACAAGTCAGAGGAAAGTTTACCTAGATATACAGGTCAGAGGAAAGCTAACCCAGATATGCAAGAGTCAGCTCAGAGGAAATTTGGGGGGGATGTTTAAGTTAATTTTTTTTGTAATTATTATATTCTGTTAAAATAATTTTATTAGTTTTTGTATTGTCATTCATTTTATCAAATTTTACTCCTTTTCATGCTTTTCAGCAGAGCATTTTCCTGTAGGAATTAATGCTGGTTTACTTACTTTTTACTACTGGGGTATAGGGCAGTAACAGGGGTTCCCCCACCCTTGTCTGTCACTCTTTAGCATTTAGAGTGTACCCCAGCTTACCTTGTAATTCTCTTTTCTCATTTTTTCCCCTCTGGTGTTGTTTATCCAGTGTTTTACCATTCCCTTGTAAGTACATGGCCAAGCCAATTCCAACAAAGGACTTTGTTTGCTTTTTAAATTTATATATTTATATATAGTTTATAGCTTGATTTTAATACCCCTGGTACATGCATCTTGTGTTTTCTTTTTTTTTTTTGGAAATGATAGTCATGAAACACTTTATGAAAATTTCTTATCTTTAAATTAAGTGTCTGTATAATCATTTAAAAGTACTTTCAGGATTAATAATTTAAGTTGATGTTTTGGTTTGTATTGATTGATTCAGTCAGGGAATACCATGTCCAAGGGGGCACTTGTTGCCATGTATTGTATACTCAACTGATTCATTTTTCTTTCTTTTAGTTGATAGAGCAGAGCTGATGAAGTCACCATTTATTCAAGCATCAGACCCCATTCCTACAAAACTAGGATTTGATCAGGTTAGTCAGAATGTAAAATAAACAATAATATTGGTACAATTATAATATAATACATGTATCATGATGCATTCATGAAGTATTTATAGTCTTGTGATAAAAAATTTAGAATTTTAAAATACTCAGAATGTTTTGAATATATAGATTTTATATATCAGAACAATTAAGAATAGAATAGTTGAAGAGAGAAACAAAGATTTTGAGGTCAAGTTTTTAAGGGTTAAGGTTATGGATATATATGGGCTCTGTATGTCCAGATCAATTTAATATTTTTTGATACATTTTATAGATCTACTTAATAAACTTGGTACGGCGACCTTTAAGACGAGAGAGAATGCATAGCGCTTTTAAAATCCTTGGTATCGAGGCTAAAACTATGGATGCAGTAGATGGAAAGTATGAAAAAGTTTGAGGAAAAAATATAAGTTCCTTGGGATTTGATTTTATAGATCAAGATAAGAAGAGTAGTCATAAGTGTGAAAGGATACCTTTCATGATGGATAAAATTTGTTGGGCTCTTCAAACCATAAAAAAAACAATGAAAATTATAAATTCCTATGAAAATTTATTGGCCTCACAGTATTTATTCACCTACATGTATTCTGTAATATTACTTTTAATTCTAAGATCTAAAAAATTTGCTTTAAAAGGCATATTTCCTATTTATTATTATAAAAGTTCCTGGACTTCTAAAGGATTGTGCATAAATAATTCGATCCAGTTACTTATTTGTTATTTTGAAAGTAGACTCGGTGACTTTGTTATCAGCAAGAAGTCTTTTAAATCTATGTTTCATATTTACAATCAAATGTGTTTATTTATGGTAATCAAGTAAGCCAAATAATGTCAAAAGATATGATTTATGTATTTTTAGGCAACTCAACAGTACGTATTTGAGAAAACTTGATATTGAAATGATGGAAGGTTACGCAGATCCATACCATGACAGGCGAGTAGAATTAGCAGATTTAATACATGTTTAAGTCATGATGGTTAGAGAGTGAAAAATAAAAAGTCTTATTGTGCTAGTGTAAACTTTGTTTTTGATTAAATAATTTATATGTTTCAATAACAAGTATTTTACATAAAAAAATATATTTAGTTAATATAGATTTACATGCATTGTTTAATAAACTTATTCAACTTATTTCCAGACCTTTGACCATGGGAGAAATTGGTTGTTTTTTGAGTCACTATTTTATATGGGAAGATGTAAGCAACAATTAATATTGATGTGCATTGTACTTCACATTAATCAATTTCTTATGTAATTTTTTTTATTTTAATTCGTTAGTTAAAAAGTTGTTAGTTGAAAAGTTAATTTGTTTTATCGGAAGGTTGTGAAGAATGGTTACAAGCAGGCTATTGTGTTTGAGGATGATGTCCGGTATCGTCCCTATTTCAAAACCAAACTGACCCGACTTATGGAGGAAGTGGCAAGAACTGTCAAGGACTGGGATCTCATGTAAGATTATTCAGTTAACTGGTGAAATAAGATAAAGAAAATAAACCTGTTCCCTGCAGTAATCAATAAATTCCTGATACATTGTAGATACCTCGGGAGGAAACGTCTTCACAAGGAGGAGAAGCTGGTAGATGGGGCTTCATACTTAGTGTGGCCCACGTATTCCTACTGGACGCTGTCGTACATCATATCTCAAAAGGGGGCCCAGAAACTGATCAATCAAAAACCGCTCAGGAAAATGATTCCAGTTGACGAATACCTACCCATCATGTTTAATCAACATCCTCGGTGAGGGCTCTAAGAGTACCTAGTATCTATCAAACATAACCAGTCAATATCCATAGTGAAAATATATCACATGAACAATATTTCTGATTGTTTTGAGTCAACATTTATTGACAAAATTTTCAATGTAAAGTACATGTAACGACCTAGAAGTCATTCATGTTCTTAAAAGAATTAAAATAGAGCTAAGATTATATTGAAGATATCGCTTTCTCTTTTCTTAAAAATCTAAGACAGTTAATTATTAATCAGTTCATTTCTATGGGTACCTTTCTTTAATCTTTTTGTTTTGTTTTTTCGACTTTAGAGAGGAGTGGATGGCCAACTTTTCTCCGCGTGATTTAGTAACTCTCTCAGCTGAGCCTTTGTTAGTTGAGCCCACTCACTATACGGGGGAGCCTAATTACATCTCGGATACTGAGGACTCGTTTATCATTCGTCCTGAAGAGGAAGTGACTCAGACTGATAAAACATCAAAGGAGGAATTGTGATAGGATGAAAGATGTGTCTACAAGTAGACGTGTACCTGTCTATTTTATCTTGTACTGGTAAATGTGTTTGACAATCTCATGTTTACAGTGTCTAGTCAATGTCTTTATGAATCTCCAATTTGTTCAATTATTTTTTAAGATTGTATTTAAACTGTTTGTCATTTTTACAGTACCAATACATGTAGATACACTTAGTGGAATATTTTTGCACACATTTACCTGTACAATATCATTTTCTGTGTTGACCTTCAAGTTGAAGGCAATTTCTTAAGGCCATGTATATGCTCATTTATAAGTAGCATCATTGAAATGAGGTCTATTTACAGTCCCATACATGTGTTTTTTGTTTTCAACTGTTATTTCAAACAGAGTATCATTTATTCTATTAATCAATTGAAATCTGCCAAACTCTGGTCTCTTTTCAGTCTGACTTGTATTTACAGAGTTATTTTTCTCATATCATCTATTCAAGATGATGATAGTATGTATTCAAAAACCATAAGTATTCATTGATGATAAACAAATAGTGGACAATCTGCAGAATGTTAACAATCATTTAGATTTGTATGAAATTCCCAAACACAGTTATAGAAATGTAATCAATTTTTGTGTCTCCCAAGAATGGGGAGTTTATTTTCATAAATCTATTTTGAATAATTTACTGCATTTAAATCTTCAATTTACATTTGTGAGCTCACAATCATAACATTTAGTCTTCATTGGTCTATTGTTATACTGTAGATGATTATGTTTTTTTTTTTTATTTTGTAGCAGAAATCCAAAAGGGATGTTCTTGTCTTTTCTAAATGTTGAAAGTATTTTATGTAAGATGTGTATGAAATGTGTGAAAAAAATGCAAAATACAAGGCAGTTTGATATTTTCTGGTGCTACATATTTTTATTAACCATGTATATACGCAGGGCTTTCAATACAATGTTTCAGTGGCATATTTAACACCTACTTAAACGCAATTCTTGTTTATTAATACTAAGTTTTTTTTTATAATAATATGTTAATCTCTGGTACAATGAAGATCTGCATTCTTAATAAAATAAAGAGATGAAATATGTACTTTTTTTAGTTTTATTTCAAAAGACAATGAAAATTAACACGAACATAAGTTATGATATATAAGTATATATATTTTATTAGTCCCTTTCAGTCATCCAGTTGAAGGTTGTAGCGAGGATATAGATCTTTGGTTCTAACACCCTCTAGAACAGCTGTGAATGAAATAGATATCTATATTGAAAATAGAACAGGGGTTACAAACAAGAGGCCCACGGGCCTTATAGGTCACCTGAGTATCATGTAACAACTTTCCAGCGATTGTATTTGGTTCGTGTTTTAAGCCAAAAGCCATGAAATTCACAAATTTTGAAAGAGGCACCATTGCTTATCAAAGGGCAGATTTCAAAGCATTAATTTATTTTATTAGTAACCCAATTTATCTATAAAGAGGTTTCTTCATTATAAGGCCACCATTTTTTTTTATGTTTAGGTTTAGTTATGAACAAAAGATAAATCAATTATTAACATTTGTAATTCTTTTTTTATGCTATCCTAATAGGCTCCTTACCACTGGAAACATAATGCTTACAAATAGGAAAGTAGAACATTTAATTGCTTATTTCATCATCTGGGGCCAGTTATATAAATTTTGTGATGTTGATCAAAATATATTTTAAAAAATCAATTCTTTAAAAGTCTTTCAATATATCTTCATTTTTTTAATATGTGTTAGGTGAATGTGTAGACATTGTTCTAAAATTTACTGGATGCCTAAAATTATAATTCCTATCATAAAACAGACAGGGAGTATTGGGGAGTAGGGTCAACATTTTTTCAATTAAGTGTAAAATAATTTTTCTGGCTGACACAAATGATACTACATGCCTGTATATATTTGTATATTCTTGCCTTTTAATAGTTGAAATTTTTTTGAATTTCTTCAGGTTATTGTTTATTTCTTCCTCAAATGGACTTCACTTCTCCCATAGTTTTATTCATTACATCTAATAAGCAACCCTTTTCTGTGGTGCTTAGACTGTAAGCTATAACAGTCCCTGGTAATATGCAATAGCCCATGGTGTCACCTTTATTTACCCACCGTTTCCTAGTCCTACCAAAATTCAAAACCTTGCAAAACTGATAAAATAAATCCTGGCCTTGTCCATTAGATCATTAGCATATTCATTGAATTCATGCATTTCACTGATGACCCTGGGGCCATAAAATTCACAATTTTGGTAGAGGCACTCTTGTTATCATAACTATGTACTTAATTAGTTTATTTAATACCCAGGAGCAGAGAAGAAGATTTTCAAAGAATTCATGTATTTTCACTATATAATCAATAGAGCCCCGCCCTATGTGGGTTTCACAATTTTGGTAGAGGCACTTTGCTCATCATAACTATGTAAATTTAATACCACTTTTCAAAGAAATAATATTTTCACTAACACACACTGTGACCCCAGGGCCATGAATTTCACAAATTTGGTAGAGGACTCATTGCTGATTACAATCAATGTCCAAGATTGGTTATTGCTAGCAGTATAAATTCACAATTTTTGTTCCCCTTCAGATGCTTTGTGCCAAATTTGTAAATTGGTTCATTGTAAAATGTTCATGTTCAAGGGTAAATGTTACATCTTTATAGTGAATGCATTCACCTGCATTGTTTTTTGAGTTGGCTCACGTAGCAAGCTAAGGGGACGAAAATTTCCCTGTACATACAGTATGTAACCATTGTAATATGTTCAAGGGTAAATGTTACATCTTTATAGTGAATGCATTCACCTGCATTGTTTTTTGAGTTGGCTCACGTAGCAAGCTACTCTCTGGTATCATAGCTGTTTCAGAGCTGTAAAATTTATCACTCGTTCAACAAATTGATTCATACGCCAAATATGATAGTTCTAGCAAAAAATGCTTTTGTTTGAGTGATTGTATAAACTTAAGTAAAAACTGTATAAAATTTCATACTGTTACACTATTTATAGTCTTCATGCTTTTAAAGAAAATTTTGATTAAATATCTGTACGATGTACATTTACTGCATATGAATATATGATCAAGCATGTTAGGCGGATCTAATCTTCCCATCTGAAGGTCATTTAGAATACTCTCTAGCACAAACACCTGCTGCTCTCATTAGCTGCAGCTAGTGTGCTTGAACAATCTAATTTTTTTTTGTTTTTGAGATTTTATCCTTTTTTTTCCCATATTATTTGTTATCATTACTTGTTAAACAGTTTACCTTTTTTCTAATTCACATATTTCAGCGTTAATTTCCTGTAATTTCTTCTCCAGTTCCTGTACATCATCTTCACATGGTTTGTTTAGTTCTTCTGTTTTACTCTTCTGTTGTGTCTTCTGAAGCTTAAGGGTTGCAAGAGAAAATATTATTATAGAAATAATAATCAAATACATTGTTTCAAAATCAGTTACATATCTACCTAACAGAAATAATTTAACAAGTTTAAAAATTAATCTATGAGAGAAAGTATTGAGCTACCACTTAACTTACTGGTGATTTAAATGCATTACTTGGTGGTCTTTTTGAAGTAATCAAGCTGAAAATTAAAACAAATAGTATGAAATTGACATAATTTATGTCATAATATGTAAATCCCATCCACTGATAACCACCATGACAATCTTTCAAGTTTAATTAAAAAAAATACATTTGTGTTTGTGGATTGGCAAAATAATTTGTATCTGAAAAGGAGAAAAATGCAATGACCAATGCTAGATTTGAACCATCTAAATCACTTGTTTGGTCCTCTATGTAGTTCTTCTAAACTATCTGGCCACCTGCTTATTGAACCTGCCATACTGACACAAATATAATATCTTTTTCAAACTTAATCTGGATTTGAACAGCTTTCTAACAGGTTGGGGCCAATTGCCCAAATGGGATACTGTGAATTCACCTTATTTTAGAAGGGTTTAATTTTCACTATTGTTGGTATGAATTAAGATACCTACAAATTCCTATCCTAAAAAAATTTAAAATTAAAACATTCATGTCTAGCCACAAAACCCAATCCCTAACCACAAAATTTGTTCCACAAAAATAAGTGATTTTACAGTATACCGGGTACATTTAAATACAGAATAGTCTGTGTGGAATATTTTATTTCAGTGGGATATATGACCCCCGATGCAAAAACTAAGGAATGAAAATATTTGCACCATTTCTCTTGCTGTGAGTGTATATTAACCAAAAAGTACCGGGTAAGTTTTCTATGCATTCCTTTGGAGAATTGTACTTTAGTTATTCCAAATTTTTTTAGACCATTCTGGCTCCTCAAGGGTACACTGTACAAAGTTACTGGCAGAAGAAATACGTACGTCCAAATTGATAGCATCAAACTGAGACAAAAACAAAACTCAGGTAATCCACCTATGGAAATTTTATGTATCTTTAGCCTAAAAGGGTCCTGTACAATCAGTTCATTTATCTCAATAGCTAAAATAACCCACACTAGCATTATATAGTTACTTTAATATTTTGCTATTTCAAAGCATTTTTTTTTTTTTTGCAATTTGCCTTTTTTTTAAAAGAGACAAAGAAGAGTAAACATAGTAAGTATGCGACTACTAATATCTAATCTATACTAGGGATTTTTTAAAAAGCAATCCAGAGCAGAGGTAGTTTAAACATTGCTGTGTTTGAACACTTTTGAGCAAAATATGCTTTTCTATTGTTTGAGTAGCTGTCCACCTACTTCTTTGTGGCAAGGCATAGATATTAGATAAGTATGATAAGTTCACATTGTACTGAATAATAACCAATCAATTTTAACATAATGTTAACCAGAACTGGTCTTCTAAATTTCTTTGTTATTCATAGACCTTAAGTGCAGGTCCAGTACAATCTCTTGATTTAGCTATATAGCTTTAAATAGCTATATAGCTTTATTAAGCTATTCAGAATAGCTTAATTTAGCTATTTTACTACACTTTTTTCTTAAAGGTGTAATTTTCTCAGTATGTACAAAACAGCACACCTTGGTGCAGTGATGATATACAACCTTGAAAACTGCTGAAAATGATGCATGTAAAAATCAGTCATCAAATTGCATCTTCTTGAGAGACTTTGTACTCAAAATTCTACAAGTTTTGTGGCAATATAAACTTAAAGCAATTGATACAGTTACTTCTGCAGTGATATTAATGTTACTTCTATACACGTTTTGATTAAAGAGAAAAAATTTTTTTTCAAAAAAAAAAAAAATTGCCTACCTACCTACCCTATATTTTTTCAGCCTGAAAGCGGAAACAAACATATTTTTTTTCTAGGCCTTATGGTCAACAAGATAGGTTGATTGGTAACAGTTCAGCACAATGAGAAGCATTCATACTTATCCATGCCTCAAAGCACAGAGTAGTGGACAGTTACTCTAAGAACAGAAATTGTCTTTTTGCTTAAAGTATTCAAAAGCTGCAATGTTAGAACTATCTTTGATTCTGGTTGTTGTTTTGATAGTCCATAGTACATAATCACTACATATATGTCACATATGAAGAGTCAAATACATGTGACTTTTTGTTTATTTCTAGCAAACAAAATTTTTGTGAAAACTGCATGTAAATCACTAAATAAAGCTATTTTGAATAGCTTATTAAAGCTTTATAGCTATTTAAAGCTATATAGCTACTTCAAGCTATATAGCTAAATCAAGAGATTGTACTGGACCTGAACACAGGTACTTGGGTCGTGGTTTATAAATATTTTGATGTACCTTATTGATATGTAAAATAAGTAAAGGTATGCAGGCTCCTTAATGGCGTCTGCTCAACTCGCTTGTTTACATGGCTTGTTCTCTTTAAAAGACGCCATTACGGAGCCTGCATACCTTTACTTTTTTTACATATCAATAAGGTACATCAAAAATATTTATAAACCACGACCCAAGTACCTGTGGACCTGAACATGCTGAAGTGGGTCTATGTTTCATTCAAGACGTAACTGTCTGGTTACTAATCAAATACTTGCGGGGTTTTTTTTTTGTATACATAAAGAGCAAACTTTGAAATCTAACATTAAATAACTATTTTGAGTCGCTAAAATAAAATAAAGCTATATTCTGTATAGAGAGATGACTGAAAAAAATCAAATCACCCACCTTTTTCTACTCATACTCGGAAATAAAAATTGAAGGCTAAAAGTAAAACCGGACAACGCCAGACCAGAAGTTTCCGAAGTCGCTAACAAAATTTTGCAACAAATGCCCGCGGTCAACATTTAACGAAAGATTCATTTATTTTAGTATTTACTGTAGCATTTATAATTCAATAGTATATCATTTCCATCTGCCAGCCTATCCACGCGTACACAGACACTATAAATGTAAAAAGAGAGACAATTTTAAGATGTGACGTCGCCCCATTGTGACGTTTATTAGATTATGACGTTACATTTTAACACCAGTTTCGTGGATACCCATAAACAACAGCAGGGTTTTTTCAGGAGATTTTTTTTATTTTATTTTTCATTTATTTTAACGACTAATTATGCAACAAGATTCACAAAAAACCGTGGATACCACGCAAACTGCACTAGATCAAATCGAGGAACTTCGTGGGAAAATTCACTTAAAAGGTAATATTTTGAAGTTTCTATTTAAAATTATTGTGTTTTTGTAAAATAACAAGAATAGAACAAGCCATAATTTTCATAGCCGTCAGAACCGGGTTGGAGAGGGGGGGGGGTGGAAAAGGGGGGGATTAGCTCTCCACTTTTTTGCCAAGATAAACATATTAAATATAGGCATTGAACATTGGGGCGTAGGTTTAGCCCATCCTTACTCTACTTTCAAGAGGCACGTTGCAATGTTTGTCAGAAAAGCGTAAGTGGTAGCGTTTGAAAAAAAAAATTGTACTCAAAGAAGTTCGATCCTAACCCCCCCCCCCCCACCCCCCCCCCCCCCCCCCCCGAAATAAGGATTTTTTGTGTTTGGACAATGGGCACTTTTCTTACTTCTTTTTTTTGTTTGTTTGTTTGTTTGTGAATTCTTTTTGTAATTTTGAATTTTTTTTTCTCTTTCTGTTAGCCGTCCTTTCAATTAGCTTCCGACGCCAATGATTTTTATTGATTTTTCTTTTTCCAGAGCGAGATGCCAAAGCATGCTACGAGAGTTCCGAAACAAGGAAAATACAATATGAAAAACTGATTGCGAAGCTGAGGGATGAAAATAAAAACAAAAGAGTACAACTTGCTAAAAGTATCAATGTAAGTTTTCATAGTAGTGTAGACTCTTTTTAAAAATTGGTTTTGTTTTACCTTATTATTCAGGAAAAAATTCTGGATCCGGGCCTGTCAAACCCGCTGTAAGTATTGATGAGGCATGGATGGTAGATGGTGTAATTCGTAGTCAAATGGCGTATAAAGTAAGCCTAACAATTAGGAATAAAGACAATGGTCAAAGTACGACCCGAAGTTGGTTGTATTTGCTAACAAGTCACTTTATAACGAGTTGCTTTTGCTAACAAGTCACTATTGGTCATTGAAATCCCTGTAACATCAACTCATTGTGTGTAGTCTGCATTGGTTTTTTTATAATGGTTGTTCTTGAGTACATGTATCAAATGAGTTGAACGACATAGAAACCAGATGCAGATGATAGCGGAATATTACTACATACATGTACTAATAAATAATGAAAGTTAATGATGGAACAGTTGAAGTTATCTCGTTTGTCATAAATGTGTGTCAACCCCCCCCCCCCCCCATTTTCAATAGTCAATAATACATCTTCATATGAAACAGAAGTGCCACACTCTGTGGAAAATAAAAAAAATAAGAAGTAGTGATGAAAATGTGAATTAAAAGGAAAACCATTTGTAAAGGTCATTGATAGGGTCCCATCTTATAGGAATTTCCCAAAGTTCCGTGTTTTTATGCCCTGTTCAGATATTCACTGTTTGTAGTTTTTTCGAAATCGACATTCGGGTTCTTTACATTTACTTCTTGTTGAAGTCACAGGGATTTACAGTCAGAATTCTAAACTCTACTGTCCTTATAGTGACCATGTGAGCAAACATACTGTAACCAATCGTTGAGTCGTGTTTTTGACGAACGTCTTTCATGCGATTTTAGGCCTTTTTATACTAAATTTGACTACGGATTACCCCGCCTGCCCGATGAATTCTCCGGGCTTACGGCGGGTGTGACTGGTCGACAAAGGAATGCTTCCTAATCGGAGGCACCTGATCCAACCTTAATGTTTCCTGGGATATTTCCTGGTGATTTTGCCCTGTTCACAATTTGTTTTGTTTACTGAATTTACGATATTGATCACTGACCGTTATTTGTTACATTTAACATTATATACCTTATATTTAAAATTGTAAATACATATACATCTTTCAGTATGCAAATATTTCCAAACAATATACATTTTCCCCCATATTTTATAAACGAACGAAAAATAATATACTCTAAGATGAGGAAGAAATCTGAGAAACAATATATAAACGAAATACACTTAAAGAAAGAGAAACTTAAACATGCGTACATGTTAAAATCACATATTGGAATCAAATAAAAACTACATAGACAAGAAATCTAATTAAGATGCAAATGTTTGATTCTTTAGCATATCTAAGCATTTATTTTATACAAACATTGAAATAAAGGTCTCATTCTTGTACCGAAGAAGAAAAGGGTGTTCTATTCCATGCAAATCATGTAGACATAACGAACAGTATTCGAGCTCAAAAGTCCATTAAACATTACAAAATAGGAGCGGAGCAAACACGGACCTCCAAAACATCATAGGTGGGATCATGTTCCTGCTTTTTTACGTATCAAATCAACAGAGAGATATAAACTATGCATGCATGTGACAAAGGTGTATCGATGCATGCTTGACGATTGAAAAGTTAAAGTTATCACATTTATCATAAAGCCTTGTTGTTAGATTACCATTAACGTCTTTTTCTAGTAAAAGATCCAAATAAGAAACAGATATGTTAGACTCTGTTGTATCTTTTATTTCAAGCTCATAGGAATGGAAATAACTATTGTTAAATTAATTGACAATAAGTCGTCGATAGAACTAAATGTCGACTTGAAGGTCACAGCAAGTGTTTTCTTCTTTTCACATGAAAGATTCTGAACAAATTCTGCTTCATATGGTTACAAAAATATGTGTGCTGATGAAGAAAGCAATTCCAATAAGGTAGATTGTTGTAAGAACTGGCCTGGAGGCCATAAAACTCAAACGAGCTCATGTTAGATCCCAGTCTCACTTTTACCAAAGGAATGAATAGTGGAAAGGTGAGACTGAGATCACAAATGAGCTCGTCTAAGTTTTATGCCCCCCAGACCTGGTCTTCAAAAACCGCATAGATATTGCCAATAAGAAACTCTTTAGCAACTTTTTATTATCAACTTCAGAGTACTCGCACTGAGAGAATTACATATTTGATTTAACTAGTTTTTTAACAAAATCATTTTGCAAATGACCAGTGACAAGGTATAAGTAAATTTACGAGTTCCATTTTATTGAACAAGCAGCTGTCAATGATATCAAAAAGCCTGGACTTTGATTTATCGTGGGGGAAAAGTTGAAAAGTGGTTAATTTATATGCTGTTGATATTGGTGAAAGAACTACGCACGCTAACTCTTGATTCCCGCCTACATTTTAAAACCATTTATTTAATATATGATCAACACCTTGAAATTGAAAAAGACTTTGGCTAATACAAAGATGCATATCCTTTATAATCAATCAATTCTTTAAAACCAGGTGCTTCATGGTTTAATTATCTTGTTGGTATTCCAGTGTGAAAATAAGGAAGAAAAAGATAAGGGTAAAACTGCATTTTCTACACATATCGGGCTTTTTCAATTTCAAGGTGTTGATCATAATCTGAAATAGTCTTGGATATGAATAAATGTTTCTGAAATCTTTTCATATGTTTTGTTCATACAAAATTAAGCCTTTAAAATATAAGTAAAATACAATGTTTCAGTTGTAAAGCACTTGGAAAATGCTGAAAATTAAGCATTTTTGTCGTTTTTTGTCTAAAAACATATCCCCCCATCCCGTGAAACTCAAAAAAGCTTTGGTATGAATTTGTGAAATGACAATCCATATTACCCGTAACAACTTTTTGTGAGGTAGTGATTGTATGGACAGTAAATTAATATACTAGTCTTCCCAGTGACTTTCACTGGTTATTTTTTTCAGTGCGTGTGTACAATCCGAATTTTTTTTAACAAAATGATTTTGCAAATGACCAGTGACAAAGTAAGTAAATTAACGAGTTCCATTTTATTGAAAAAAGCAGCTTCAATGATATCAAAAAGCCTGGACTTCGATTTATCGTGGGGAACAGTTGTATATAAAGTTGAAAAGTGGTTAATTTTTATGCTGTTGATATTGGTAAAATATTTTGTTTTCAATTGTTCAAAAAGTTCTTTGGAATTCTTAAGTATCCACATCTGATTTACACTACTTCTTGAATATATTGTTGCACAGTACTCTTGAAGTTTCTCCTTCACAACTGTTAATATCTTAGTGATGAGTAAAGAAATAGACTTGTTTGAACATTAACTGGAACCCGCTATGAATTTTTTTTTGTAAGGATTCTTATGAAGTTCCGGAATCCAATATAGATATGTTTGTTCAAATTCAATTTGGTCGTTAGGAATATTAAAAACATTAAAAACTGACATACTATTTTAAAGAATTTCCTCCTTTGAAAGGGAACTATTAGTATACGTTGGATTACCACTTGTAGAATTAAATCCAAGTTCTTCTAAAATACATTTTATACAATGAGCTTTACAAACGAAGACAATGTTGTTACCTGCTTTGTCGGCAGGGACCAGTACGTACTGATCATGTAATCTATCTAATTCTTTTTTCACTTCTGGATTATTGAATACAGGGTTTTAACATACATCTGATACATTTACTAGCAATCCATTCTGACAAAGTGTTAAGGTCTTCATTTTCATTTCAGCCCATTGCCTGGCGTAATCTACAGAACCCATAATATTTATGAAATTGTGACGCCAGTTGAAGGATCAGAGTTCCCTATATAAGGACCTTTTAAAATGAGTTATCTAAGGTCCTCATTATTATGTGAAAAAGCTCTTTTTCGGGATGACACGATAGAACGAGGATTTAAGGCTTATATCTTCATGATACTTAGCTTTCT